TAACGATTACCTCCGAATGCGACCAATTATGTAAGTGTATTTATGTAAGTGCGTTTGTACATGTATGTTTGGGGGTCTGAAATGGACTAATCTACTTCACAATATTCCTTATGGGAACAAATTCGGTCAGTACTGGCACCTGAACATACTTCTGGAGTGAAAAAATATCGTTAACCGGGGGTCCACTGTATATATATCCAAGGGAAAGCACCAAATCCATACTATGTAATACAGCACAGATTAGGTATATTTCTACATACCATAGGTGTTAGCACAAGCCCCATACGTCATACAACAGATTTCAGCCAATTAATCATGGCTTGAATTAGTATACAATATTAAATTCATTTTACAGCTCAGATGACATTTTGTCGTGCAAATGGTAAATGTAACCTAACAACCTCAAATGAACCTAGGTAACTGTGTGATTGTACCAAAATAAACGTACAGTGGTACCTCCATATACATCTGCTTTGGAATAAATCCAACTTGGTAGAAGTCCTGTTTAGAAGCAAAAATTTTTGCTTGGTATACGACCTTTGTTTGGAATACGACTCGCGTGCTAGAGCCAGTGCTGATAAAGATACCGCCAATGATTTTGTTACAGAGTTTAGGGAATTTGTGGAGGCCGAGAGTTTTGGATCAGCAGGTCATCAGTAATTTCAAGAAACTCTACACTAAAGCACTATTCCAGAGGTGCTTTGAAGTGACCTCTGACACAGAGTTTTGGAAAGATCACTTTACTATCACCCATTGCATAACTCTCATTGACAAAGCCTGGCAGGAAGTTTTATACAGAACAATGAACTCTGCTTGGAGGAATCTGTGGTCAGAAGCAGTGGCTGAGAAGGACTCTGAGGGCTTGGAGGCTGTGTCTATAGTGGAAGATGTTGTCTCTGGGCAGGTCCATGGGTCTGGATGCGAGTGGTGATGTGGAGGAGTTAGTGGAGGGGCACAGGAGAGAGCTGACCACTGAGGAGCTGCAGGAACTTGAGAAGGAGAAGGACAAGACTAAGATGGATGCACTCTCTTCAGGCTCAGAAGAGACAGAATAAACCCCCTACTTCATTAATACAGGAAATCTTTGCCAAATGGATGGATGTCAAAAACTTTGCAGAGAAGTGCCAACCCCCAACAAAGCCCAAATAAGCCATAATAGCATGGTCTGGAATGACCAGACAATGTCACATTTCCAAAACTTCCTGAGGAGAAGGCAGAAGCAAAGTTCTTTGGACAGATTTTTAATAAAAGTCAAACCTGGTGAGCTTCAACCAAGTCCAAATAGGGAAAAGAGACAAAAGAGAAGGGGACTCTCCTTCCAAACAATAACATTTCCTCCTCCTCCCTTCTCAGCACTATCCTAGTAGGCACTCGACTCTTTTCAGCAAAGTAGAGAGGTTAAATTTGCATTTATTTCATCTAATTCTTTTGTATTTATGTATGTATTTTAGTATTAAGCAGTATTTAAATTACATATTTTAGTATTAAGCAATGTTTAAATTACTTTATACAACCCCATTAATGTATAATATGCCAATAACAATAGGATTATTTTTCACAGGAACGGATTGTTTTCCCTATATTTCTTACGGAAAAATTCATTTGGTATATGTCCTGTTTGGTACAAATCCAAGGTCCTGGAACAGATTAAGGACGTATACCAAGGGGCCACTGTACTTTCTTAACCTTACTCAGTCATCCATACTGACCCAAAACGCAGATGTGATTTATACAGATTTTGCAAAGGCGTTTGACAAATGCGATCATGGAGTGACAGTGTACAAAATGAAGGCCATGGGCATTACGGGGAAGGTAGACAGATGGATTTTCGGTTTCCTAACACACAACACAAAAAGTAGTAGTGAACAAGGAAACATCCAGCATCAGCGAGGTCAAAAGCTCAGTGCCCAAAGGCACTGTCCTCTGCTGTTTCTCATCCTCATAGCAGACAAAAACACCCAGCACACTTTTGTATCATTTGCAGATAACACTAAAATAAGCATGAAAGTCACTATGGTAGAGGACACTGAAAAAGTACAGGAAGACATAAATAGGGTTTTCCAGTGGGCAGTGGAGAACAACACGACGTTCAATGGTGACAAGTTCCAGCTGCTTAGGTATGGAAAGAATGAAGAACTCAAAAGGAACACTATATACAAAACTCAAGAGGGTCACCAAATAGAATGTAAGGAACACGTAAAAGACCTGGGAATAATTATGTCGGCTGACCTTTCTTTTAAAGACCATAACAAGACAAAGATCACGACAGCCAGGAAGATGACAGGGTGGGTATTGAGAATTTTCAAAACAACGGAAATAATGCCAATGGTGACACTCTTCAAAATCGCTAGTGCTCCCTCACTTAGAATATTGCTCAGTGCTGACGGTCCTGTTCAAAGCAGGAGAAATATCGGAGCTGGAACAAATACAGAGATCGTTTATGGCTCACACTGAGCCTGTATAGTACCTAAACTACTGGGAACACCTGCAAGTCTTGAACATGTATTCATTGAGCGGAGGAGAAAGATACACGATAATATATACCTGGAAAATACTAGAGGGCCTGGTCCCAAATCTGCACACTGCCATAACAACATATACTGGAGTGAGAGATGGGAGAAAGTGTAAAATAAACCCAGTGAGGAGCAGGGGTGCGGTGGGGACAATAAGGGAACACCGTATCAATATCCGGGGTCCCAGACTATTTAACGTCTTACTAGAAGATATCAGAAACACGGCTGGAACAAGTACAAAAGCCTTCAAGAGGAAACTGGACAAGTATCTTCACCAGGTACCAGATCAACCAGGCTGTAATGGATATGTGGGACAGCATGACTCCAGCAGCAACAACCTGGTTGACCAGGCAAGCACCAGACGAGCCTGGCCCATGGCCGAACTCAGTAGATAAACTCTCGAAACTCTTCAAAGATATATCAAAGGTACCCATCTGTTAACATTTGGCCAGCCATGTGACACAGCTCAATACTAAGGGTTAATTTGTTCAGATATGCTGCTAAACAGTAATATTTTCAGTAATACTTCCCACAATAATAATTTGTACAGGAAATGCTTACTTCCTTTATGGTGTACTTAGGCTGTATGCATAGCAAAATAATAATAATCCTTATAAATTACATAATATAATTGGTCCAGGAATAGTTTGCATATTTGGCATACTTTATAGAAAGCCCCTGGTTATGCAAGTACATGTACTTTGGACAGCCTTAAGATTAACTTACAATAACTACAGACATTTATACGATTAAGTTGGTTTATTTGAATGCTAAAGTTTACAGTCTCGGACATTTACTCTTAAAAATTTGGTTTATGATTATGAATTTTTAAGACAATTTGTTATTATGTATGTAGTGGTTATGACAAAGAAATAAAATGGTGATAGTGAAAAAAATATAAATGTTAATATGATTTGGATAAACAGGGTTGATGCTGATAAATTGGGTTTTAATAATTTGGTTATACAGAGTTTTGATCAGATGATGGAGATGCTCTATTTTTTCAAAGCAAGTGGCAGATTGAGAATTTTTTCGCATTTTCTGGAAGGGAAATCTTAATTTAGGGGCCCTTTACTAACAAGGAGTTCTTAGATAGGTCGAGTCAAACTTGTGGTATGTCAGAGGGGTATTTATTTCTTGTAATGTGTATGTGCCATGTTACAGCTCTCCAGGAGGAGTCGGAGTACTGGGTTGAAGATCATACCAAGTGTCCTACACACTGTATACATAGAATGCACAGCAGGTATGACTGTTCTGTAAAGCAAGTAATCTAAGACTTGAACAGTGGGGATGTGTGTGTTGTCTGTAACCTGACTGAATGATTATTTGAATAGCTGATTTCTGCAGGGTAACAACAGGTTTTAGGTGGTTTGCTGTTGTAGATCCTCAAGCACAGATACCGTAAGTGAGGTAAGGATAGATTAGTGAACAGTATGAAGTGCGTAATGTTGCACGAGGAACAAAGTTGTGTATTTCTGTTAGAAGGCCCACAGTTTTAGAAATTTTATGATACGTGTTGGGTGCAAGTGTTGAATTGAACGGTGTATACCTAAGAATTTTCCCTCATTTTGCCTGACTATGAGAGAATTATTAATTTTTAGCTAAATTGAGTATTTCCAGGTTTATTCCCAAACATGTAGAAGGTCTTGTCAATATCAAGAGTAAGTTTGTTGTTGACTGTATTGTAGAGAACAACTGGATCAAGATTAGATAATGTTGTGCCATCTACAAACAGGACTGGTAAACAAGTCTATTTAGGTACAGGCACACAAGTACAATTATCATGCCTAGTAACATATGTATAAATTACCCAGGATAGCCCCCCCCCCCAAAAAAAAAAAAAAAAAACTCAGTGATTTATTTCCAGTGGTCTTTTAATTCCACAAAGTAGTAGTTGGTGACTTAGGCCCATTATTATAATCATGGGTAGCGCTAAACCCGTAGGGGACCATAAAGTACCCGTGGAATGGGAGGAATAAGCAAGTTTATTCGGGTACAATTACGTAATCTTTGGACAATTCCAATGCAATCGTGTCATTACGATTTCTTAAGTCTCGTTCCAATTCCTACATAATGTGCACCGCAATATAGCTAATTTGTGTTCCTACTATGTAATTAACACATAGAATTGGTAGCAATGCACTATCGATGTATCCAAATGTTAAATAAAAAAAAAATTACCTAGGATAATTAAAAAAATTAGGTAACTTATTTCCATAGTGTCAGACTCGATCCAATTAAAGGAAGGAGAGGTCCAAGAGCTTGAATCAAGAGCCCCTCTCTTGGTAGGGGGGGGGGGGTATCTCGAAAACGAATTAAAAAAAAGGCAAAAAAAAAAAAAAAAAAAAGTTAGAAGTACGTTAGGTTAAACACCTCACATGTGAATCAAGGCTACTGTCCACCTAGGCACTAACAGCCACAATACCTTAATTTAGAGGATAGATATATATCTCTTGATACATATATAATGCTGTTAAAACAGCTTACCTGCTGTGCTGTTCCACATGATTGAAAAATAGAGAGAAGGTGAAGGTTGTTGTCTGTATTATGGTGGGGTTTTGGCGGGAACTACAGTGATGCCAGATCAAACAATAATAACAACACTAATAAGGAAATATTATCTAGGTTCTACATGTGATCTGAAATAAAAAGTGAAATTAACAAATGAATAAAATATAGAAAGAACGTGAAGCTTGTTAAGCAAAATGACATGTGCAACTAATGCGACATTTTTATTGCGTCACATTTCGCCCTGAAGCCCTAATGGCTTGACCAAGTTACTGGTGAGCAAACACAATAAAAATGTCGCATTAGTTGCACTTGTGTCCTTTTACTTAACATATTAATAGTCAGTAATTCTACCAACATTATTACAATGTGAAACTTGTTGGCTGTGTTGTAGTGGTGTTGTAGAGAGAACTTCAGTGATGCCAGATCATACGCTAATGGCATCACCAGTGTTTTTTTTTTTTATCCAACTTTTACTCTATTAGTAAATAAAAGAGAGAGAGAATGTGAGGTTTGTTGCCTGTTTGTTTTGGTGGTGTGTTTTTTTTTCTGGGGGGAGAGCAAGTTTTATTTAGGTTTGCGCATGTCCCTGGACCTTGTCTGTGCCGACTCCGGGAATAATGTTGATTTAGGTATAGGTATACATAAGCACAATTATCATACCCATTAATACATGTGTGTGCAGATTACCAAGGATAACCCCAAAAATTTTAGACAAAAGACTTATTTCCACTGGAGTCCTTGAGTTGTTCTTACCTCCCCCAGTGAAAATCAGGGGCGCCATTAGTACGATACGAGACAACACAAAAAGTGTCAGGGGTTGAAGACTGTTCAACTGCCCCCTAGCACACATAACGGGGATTACCAATATACCCGTGGCTATCTTCAAGAGGGAGCTGGACAGACACCTGAAGTCAGTACCTGACCAGCCGGGATGTCGTTTCTACGTCGGTTTGCGTGCGGCCAGCATTAACAACCTGGTTGATCAGGTCTTGATCCACCGCGAGGTCTGGTCATGGACCGGGTCGCTGGGGCGTTTATCCCCGAAACACCAGGTATATACAGGGGACAAGAACAACTCAAGGACCCCAGTGGAAATAAGTACCTTAGACTTTCTTTGTTTTATCCTAGTAATTAACGTGTCACTATGTATGATAATTACTTGTTATGCAGAGAATTTCTGGCAAATTAGGTCAATTTTGTCCCAGGATGCGACCCACACCAGTCGGCCTTCTACTAGGTGCCTATTTTACTGCTAGTTGAATAAGGACAGCAGGTGTCCGGGTTCGATTCCCGTACCGGGGATCGAACCACGGACGTCAGTGTGTGAGCTGAATACACTACCAACCCAGCTACGGGATACTGTATCATGATCAAATAAATCTTTGTTTTTGTTGTCCAGGGTCCTGGGTTACTGGAGCCGCTGCTCTGAATCTCTGTGTCTTTCACATCTTGATTTGCATATTATCATTACATTTCCTGTTGAGCGCCTAACTCTTATAGATCATACAGCGCCTGTGGAATGAGATTTAATCAGATCTGATCCCATGTAGGTATATATTATGTCCGGATAGGGACAACATATGCACTGTGAGCAGATTAGTTATCCAAAAAAACCAGCATTCACCACCTGATGATGGCTGCCCTTCCAGCTCCTGGTCCTCTGGTGTGTGTTTAACAGGTACCAGGTTTAGTGTGTACATCGAAACCTCACGATCCTCTTGAAATTGTTGATCTCTATCTCTAACTTCTAGGTCTGTTGAAGGAGTTGAGCTATAGCTCCTCGACCTATTGAGGGTTTTGAGGTATAGCTACTATGCCTTTCGCATGTATTGGGGTACAAGGGGCGGGGCTACGTGATATATTGCAAACTTAATTAAGGATAGTTATTTTTAAATAAATATATAAATTTGTGTAATGCTCAATGCTATTCCATTCCGCACTTAACAAACCATTCAGGTGGAGTAGATCTTGGGGAGCGATCCAGGTGAATATATTCACTCGAGCAGACAGTGTGCTGCACCAGTCGCTGCCAACTGAAATTCTCTAATATATATCACAAATTACTGGCTCTACTTGAAACGTAGTTTCCAGAAATACACTTGCGTATGCCTGCTAGCCTATACATGCGAAATGGAAACATCTAATTCCCGACCATTTTTTTTTTCAATATGGTTAGTTTGATAGCTGTGTTACTCATCTGGTTGTGTTAGTCGATACATGGGTATATAAGGGGCCTAAGGATTTTTCACTGTAATGAAGAAGAATGTGCATAACCCTGCCCAAATTACATCAAGCTGATTGGCCCTTTGGGAGGGACTTGAGGTAGTTGGTTCTTAAGGGTGGCTGGCAGTGAAGTGGTGCTCCACGGCGGGATTGTTGTTGCTCAAGTAGCCGGCAAACGTCGCAACACAGGCCAGGCGAGTCAACCAGTCTCATTAATGTTGCGAATTACTCTTGTAATTATTATTGATGACCTGCTCAGCCTTCCATTCACTCAGATAGTTTAATGAATGGCTAGCGTTAACAAATGTCAAGGTGAAAAAAAAGGTGAAAGGGATAGGGAAAGGAAGAGAGGAAGCTGTGTAAGTGGATGAATGTTCTTGATTGTAACTTGATAAACTAAGACATAAGCAATAACCAATGTACAGTAATATATACAATGTACAGTAACATATAATGTAGAGTTAATATATAATGTAGTTAATATATAGATTTTATATATATAATGTAGAGTTCACAAACAACATTAGATACTTCAAGACACTGTCACTAAGTGACATTGTTTGAATCACTGGACTGTCATGATCATGTATGATGGTGATACTGCCACTAATTGATATTGTCTGAATCACTGGACTGTCATGATCATGCACGATGGTGATACTGTCACTAATTGATATTGTCTGAATCACTGGACTGTCATGATCATGCACGATGGTGATACTGTCACTAAGTGACAATCCAGTGTCTGAATCACTGGACTGTCATGATCATGAATGATGGTGATGCTGTCTCTAAGTGGCACTGTTTGAATCACTGGACTGTCATGATCATGCATAATAATAATACTAAATTTATCCCGGTTCTATTACACTTTTTCCCTCCCAGCCCACAATGTCAGCGATGGCACAGGGTGTGCCGGACTCACGGGAGCTTCCACTGCAGGGACAGCGCCTTGAAGTTCGATCGCGAGGCACCTGTCAGGTGTGCCACAGGCAGTGTGCACTCAGTTCCTCAAGTTTCAACATCCGTGAGCACGGTGGATGTCTGGACACCCGGAGGGCTCCAGGTGGGAACAACCAACAGCCCCACCAGCAGACAGAGGTGACAGCTGCTGCGCCCTCACCTTTACAGAGGGCCTGGGATCTGCAATCAAATTGGCGTCCACCAGTACGTTGACACGTCCCCAGGGCAGCTCTCCTTCGGGCTGCTAGCGGAGTCGCTGATCTCTTGGGGAGGGTCGTTGGTGCTCCTGCAAGCAGCAGATCCTCGCGCAACCTGCTGCTGTTTGCAATGGCTGTCTGGCTGTCCTGCCGAGGAGGGACGGGCACCTAGCAGCATCTGTTGTTGGGGCAATGATACATTCCCTAGAATGTTTAATTGCTCAATTACTCTGTAATTTGTTCATGACGTATTTATGATTCATTACCTTTGTAACTTGTCATGACTGTGACCAGCTCTACCTGGAGCTAATTATCTTTGTAACTTGTCATGATTGTGACCAGATCTAATTCATTACCTATGTAACTTGTTCAGCTATCAAAACTTTGGGGTCCAGTCCTTGGACCCATTATGTACCTCTGTAATCTTGTATAGTCCTTGTGGCTTAGCGCTTCTTTTTGATTATAACAATAATAATTGTGACTAACACCCACAGGATGGGTATGGGGTGCATAATAAAGATATTAAACTAACTCCTGGTTCTATTACATTACCTGACATGACGCTGCCGTTATACTTTGTCCTTGTTACTTCCTCCATTGGCTTCCTAGTTCACTCACAGACTACTCCCCGACTTCCTACGGAGCGGCTGCTGCATCTTCCCACTGCGTGTTCTCTCCGGTCTTATATATACAGGGTTACTGATATCTTCCTTTGTATTCTGTTCGAGAAAGAAGTGCCGCTACTCTGCTTACACGTATGGCTTGCTGGTGGTAGTCAAAAAACAGACACGCAGGATTCCCAACAGTCAATAACAGGAGAACAATATGTGGTAACTCACTAGGCCAACTAGCCACCAAATGTCACCTCACGCAGCAACAAGCAGCGAAGTTCTGTACTGCTTATCAGTAACCAAGGTGATACATAATCAGGTCCCATGTCTTTCTTTGTATACAATTTACTTAGTAGCGTCTTCACCTCTTTCCTTGCTGAGGTAATACTAGTTGCTATTATTATTATTATTATTATTATAATCAAGGGGGAAGCGCTAAACCCGGAGGATTATACAGCGCCTGGGGGGGGGGGATGTGGAAGGCATTCAGGCTTAATTCGGGGAACTGGAGCACAGATCCAATTCCCTAAATCAAGAGCCCCTCACCAACACCAAGGAACCTTCCTTGAGGGGTCTAGTTGCTACTGTCCTCTCCTCAGGGTTGTCCAGAAATGTTTCTATTGCCTCAGACAATGCTTCATTAAATCTTTTCTTAAATTTCTTACATTATTTTTCTTGTTATTCTTTATGAGTTCTCCATCAAACTTCTTCATCCTCTTATTTGATTCCTTGTGCACATTTTCCTCTTAATGTTACTGTGAAGTTGGTTTGCTTCCAACTTCGCCTTTCATACTACACAGCTTGTTGCACTAGTGCTTTGCTGCATAACGTATTCATATCATATTTAGCTGAACATTCACACATGACTCTTTTTCATAGTTGTTTTCTTCTGTTCTCTATTTCCTAGATGTTTTCCATGCTTTAGCGCATCTTTTTTTGTGCCCCCTATAGTTCTGGGTAAACCATCAGCTCTTGTTTTTTTTTCTACTACTAGTCTACCCCACACGAAGCGTTTTTCTTAGTTCTACCTTCCCGGCATTCCTTGGCTAGTCTTTGAATCATGTCGTCTGTTGTCTTTTTTTCAAGTTCCCTTTCCACTGTACTTACCTCAGGAAGTCTCTCATCGTCACATATAC